CGCCGCCGCCGCCACCTTCTCTTCCGTTTCCGCATCTGCTTGCTTCTCGCTGCTTCGCGCTCGGCTGATTATTGTTGTAGCCGGAGCACATAAAGTCCAACTCTTATCTCGTCCTCAGCGTGCCTCGCTGTTTGTTTCTGCTTCTTTCTCACTCGCTCGCTCCTTTCCCTCTGCTCTCCCTCTAGCGCACCACATCAAACAGCTTAGAGAAAAGCGGTGCGGAGCGTAGGGCATCCATCTAGAAAGGCTCTCATCGCCATTTTTACTGAACCTCTCCCCCCTCCCTCTGTTAGTTTTTTTTTCGCTGCAATACGGCCTCTTCTCCTTCGCCTTTAAGCATCCTATCTCCTGCAAAACGGCTGCATGATGGCTACGGGGGATCCGACAGGAATTTTGCACTGCTCACCGGGACTCCGTCCGGCTCCGTCATCAGATGGACGGACAGCTCGCATTCCGTCGAGCCCCTCCCTCCCCTCCCGGCTGGAGGCTCGGCTGGAGGCTCCAGTCGATAATGAATCATCGCCGACACCAACTTGTTCTACAACGAGACCAGCTTTAAACTCGTTGCTACCTCCTCGAAAAAAGCCACCTTGTTTTGTTGTTGCTGTTGTTTTCGATCGTCATTGATCGACTTATTTTTCATCATTCATCATCCTAACATATTTCCTCCTGGCCCTCCATGCGCCTCTTGGAGATTGTCGCGCCATCGCGGCCAAATCTGATATGCTGACGAAATACAGGCAAATAAGAAGCTGATGCACTGGCTGGCTGCTGCTGCTGCTGCTGCTCTGCCTCGCCGGCGGGAGAAGCGGTCGCTCGGCCGCTCTCTCCCGAGCGGGAGTCCAGTCACTGGTCCACTGGAGAGAAACGTAAGGCAGGCTGCTTCGGACTGCCCTTGCCGGCCCCTCCTCGCGCTGGCCCCCGCCACGCCCCGCCACGCCAACGTAACGTGCTGTCCGAAAACTTCCACCCACTTAGTTCAGCTGCGGGGTCATGAGGCATACCATGTGTTCTGAGTGTTTTTATTTATTTTTTAATACATATCTTTGGTTTGGATGAAAGTGTAACCTTACCACTTGGAAATTACTCCGTTCTTTTGCGCGCCGGTGCGCCCCTGCTGTATGGGTCACCGGCGAAATGGCCAACACACTGAAGGGATGAGATGACCAAAATCTAATAACATTTTGTTAAACAGCACTACTATCCAAAACCAATTACACAAAAGGCGCAGTTCTCTAGGAAAAAAGCTTTTTGCGTCACAAATGTTGACGTAAACAAATATATGGATTTCAGTCTTTTTTCCATGTTCTGAAAGTTCTATTCTATAACTTTTTGCACCGTAAATTGGCCGCAATTGGCATATCTGATCTTTTCTATCAGTTTTGTTTCTTTCCCACTTTTGGCCATTTTTTCTCTAGTAAGTGTTCTTTCTCAATCTGTCTAGGTAAAACACATGATGGCATTGACTTACGCCGGGGGCGCCCGCTCTGCGCTGTAGACAGCAAGGCGGGGAGGGAGGTGGGAGTGGGAGAACGTTTCCTTCTGGTAGAGACAGTCTCATATGGGGACTGTCTCAAAAGAAAATGGAAAAAAATAAGTTTCATCATATGTGTGTTTTGCCTGACGTGCTCTGCTTTTCTCGGCCGTGGCGGCGGTGCGCACACCATTAGAGTGTGTGCCGCCGGCTCCAGCCGGGCTGCAGCCGGGCACGGTAAAAAGAATGTCTTGAAATCCCAGGAAATTTCTGGGATTTCAAGGTTAGGTGGATGATTTCAAGATTGGCCCTTGAAATCCCAGACTCTGTCTTGAAACCCGTAGCTTCCAAGGGAAATCCTTGGAATTTTCGTCTGGTATTCAAGGGTTTTCCTTGAAGTATCCAGATCGTGCTTCAGGGAAAACCCTTGAATACCAAACAAAAATTCCAAGGATTTTCCTTGGAAGCTATGGGTTTTAAGACAGAGTCTGGGATTTCAAGGGCCAATCTTGAAATTATCCACCCAACCTTGAAATTCTAGAAATTTCCTGGAATTTCAAGACATTCTTTTTACCGTGGGCCCCAGCAAGCCCTGGATGGGCCGGGCGGCTGGACTCGGCTGGACCCGTACCCGCGGCACGGCGGTGCGACAGGTGAACAGGCATGACCTGCTTTTTAGCCTAAGAGGCCCAAATTGAAGCGACGCACTGGCATGCCTGCTGGCGGGCGGGGCTGGGCAGGGCTGATCAGGGCTGTGGCGGGCAAGCCTCGTTGCACCGGCTGCTCCTGCTGACCTCAACGCACGCCGAGCACACACACCGTGCTAAGGTTGTGCGGCTTGGAAGAAACTCTCCTCTTCGCCGCTCTCCTCCCCTTTCTTGCCTCACGAGCGCCACGACGACAAAGCGACAGAATGTTTTCTGTGATGCCCTACAAGATGGTGGTCCTTCTTCTCGGTGGCTGCAGCAGCGGCGCCACCGCTTTGTCGCCGGGGGCTGTGTTTCCGCGTCCGTTGCAACGATTAAAATGATGCAGTAAATCTTGCGGCAGCCGAGTCGTTGTGGTGTTGAAACCTGCGGGCTCGCCTCCGGGTGCCCTGCAGACGGCGCGCTACATTGTGTTCGAGATCGACTATTCATATAATTTTGTATTGGCTTTTGTACATTACCTACATTCTAAACAACAATTCCATACCACTTTTTGTTTCTTGGATTATCAAAACTTCCCAAAATTTTGCCTCCAAATTCAGTTTTGTAGTTTTTCTTCTATCTTTCAGTTACAGTCTACCGAAATAATGTGTGACTCCGTCCTCCATCTACAGAAAGCAAATTCTAGCGGAGACTTGAATGCAAGAGCGAGGTGACGTGCTGACGTTTCATGTCAATTTCTATGTAATGTGTTGTAGTAAAGGGTAACAAGTATAATAACTTAGGAGTGGTTATCCATGGAGCATCCAAGAGGCCTCTACCACTCTCGTTGAGCTAGGAAGCAGATCCGGTGCCGGGCGGGCGGGGGCCCTGAGGTGTGGAACATGCCGGCACGCGCGTGCATTTGGGGCATTAGTGCATCGCGTGCATTCATGCACCGCTGCTGCTGCTTTGCGACACTCTACTTCCCCGTGCTGCTGCGGCTTCTGCTGCTGGCTGTTGCTCTGCCGCCGCCGGGCGTCGTCCCGACCCATATCGTCTGGCTGGAAGTGGGTCTTTAGCACTTTACGCCGCTAAACGAGATCTATCGCTAACTAATAATACTAATAAAATAATTGTTTCGGATGGCCGGTCGGCCGGAGTGGCTGCCCGCTCGACTAATTGCTACTATGTGGAAGAATAAGGACGATCGTCAGCGTCTTTACGGCGACTGCTGCAGTGCTGTCCATTGCCAACCGATAGGCAACAAAGCCCACCCATTACTCTGTTATTTCTGAAGATGCTACTAGCGCCCCTTCTTTAGATCAAGAACGAGCAAAAAGAAACACCAGTTTCATTTATAACGCATGTATATACTTAATGGCATAGTGTGTTTAACACTGTGTTTGATAATTTTATAGATACGGTAGATGAAAAGATCCAATTATTGGCAAGCTGATGGCCGACCTGAATGGGCAGTGAGAGAGTAGTGTGAGCAGCGAACCTGATAAGAAATCTGATAAGCAACCTGATGTTGGGCTGGACGACTCGGACGCGGCAGCCACCACTTACAGCTACAGCCCAAACTTGAATATAACTCGGAGCAAGGTACACAAGTGTGTCGGCCGGATTACCCCGTCCGAGATGCCTGCCTCTTGCGGTGACCACAGCGGATCAAACTGGAAGTCCAATTAACTTGCGCGGAGCGGTATAGGAGGCGACTTGTTGCACCGCCCGGGGCGGCTCTGGGAGGTTTGTCTGGACTGGAGGCCTAAGGCTGGAGTGGAGGCTGCTGGAAGGCTGGAGTGGAGGCTGCTGGAAAGCCTGAGTGGAGGCGACTGCAAGGTTTGAGTGGAGTCTATTGCAAGGCTAGAGTGGAGGCTGCTCGAAGAACGGGAGCAGAGGCTGCTCAAAGTCTAAAGCACAGGCTGCTCAAAGGGTGAAGCACAGGCTGCTCAGAAGCTGAAGCATAGGCTGCTCAAAGACTGGAGTGGATGCTACTGGAAGGCTGCTCTGTTGGAAGGCGCTGCGTAGTAGAGACTGCTCGGTGGCTCGAGATGAGGCTGCTGGAGCTGACGTACGTGGCCCACTTGTACAGCAGCTGCATTGACAGGCGAGCACGACACTCTCGAACTCACCTGTCAGTCAGCCCCGCGCGCGTCCTTGTCGGCGTCCTTGCCCGCCGCGCCGTGCCGGCCCGCGCGGCGCGCGGCGGGGGGCCCTCTGCTGGCCGACCTCCGTGGAGGGCCCCGCGTGCTGCCCGATCCCTTTCGCTCGCTCTTTAAGCCCCGGCGCGCCACCTCGGGAAACAGCTGACGAGGCCAAGGAGGTTTACGACGACGTGACCGACCCGCCGAGAGCGGGTTTTCTTCTTCTAAAAAGTCCTACAGCCCCACTTATATGCATGTTGCTTGCAGATTGGATCGGAATCGGGCGTGATACTTCCCCTAGTCGAGCCTAGAGGTGTGTTGTGTGTTCCTCTGGTAGTTTTATTATTTCAATTCTATTTATTTTTATTTCCGACCGCTGTCGCGTACCGTCGTAAAAGCTTCCCCCCTTTTGGCTTCACGACGACGACGACGATGACGACGGCGACGGCATTTATTGGGCGTGTCGATTTCCTTTTTGGCGCGGCGTTCTCACGGCGGTGCGGCGGCGGCGGCGTTTCCAGCACTGCTTGTAGCTTGGCCAGCCTGTTGTAGCGCTACGCGTCCACCGCCGCCGCCCGCCACGCCCAGCCCAGCCTCCCTCGTTACAGCGTCAACTCTCGGGTACGTGCTACTACTACCCGCTCACCGACTCCCTCCCCTCCCCT